ACTCTCGCTGTTTTCTCTCTGTTTCTTCCCAGCTTGCTTCCCATTATTTGATCTCTGTTTTCTCTCCATCTTATATTGCTTTTTCTGACCAACAAATCATCGATCTGATCTAGTTCTTGCTTCTACTATCATTGTTATTTCTTCTAAGCCTTGTAGAAAAAGGGGTAAGATTGAGCTGAATAAATCTCAATTACAGAATTGAGACCATTAGAAAGGGTTTAGTCATACACATTGAATCAAGTAAAGGTGTTGTTTGATCTTCACTTGGAATGTTGCTTGTTTGATCTTCACTAGACATGTCAAAAGGAAGTTGAAATGGCTTCGGAGGTATTTGAAGGAGTTCGACATCGACTTCAAGCATCTCCAACACTTTCCTCATCGAAGGACGGATCTGTATGCACCAAAATGCTTTTATTACCATCTTTCTCAAGATGATCTTTTCGTCATCGGTAACACCTTCGAATTCTATATCTTCTCCTTGAAAATACCGATCATAAATCCAAGACGAGAAATACGTTTGACTCGATTCTTCAACAACTGACTTCATATTCTTCCTACTACAACATCCCGAAGCTATAAACGTCGTTCTTATACGAGATGCCACTGATGCTTTTGTGGACCAACTCGGGAGCAATGTACCCTATCGTACCCCGAGCTGCAGTTAGCGATACGATACTAACATCTGTTGAATATAGTTTAGCAAGACCAAAATGAAACAAAGTTCTCATCCAAAAGAATGTTATGAGGCTTGATATCAAAATGTAGAATTTGCATATCACATCCTTGTAAATTATTTTCAAAGTCAAATTTAATATGCATAGATATTAAACCTAACATGTTACTCAATTTATTCTAAAAAAAATATTTTCTTTGTAATTTTTTCTGTTACAATTAATTCCTTTTTTTAAACTTATATTAATCGGTTTTATTTTAAACTCATCTAATATCTACACTTGTAATTTATATATATTGGTTCTATTTTAAACTTCCATAAACTTTTTTTTTATTAAAAAAAACTTTCATAAGCTTACATGCTCAAAATTTGTTCAAAATTTTAGTGAACTCTAGCCACTAATTTTAATTCCAAGCTCAAATTCATATTGTTCTCACCTCAAACTTGCCATTGAAGTGCTTAATGCATATAATCCAAGTTTCTTTTATTTTGGTCCTTAAACCGAAATTAAAAATTGTAAAATTATAGCTTTAAAAATTTAATCTAGTATACATAAGTGGTAAATCTAAAATGTTAATTTATTTATTCTAAAAAAGCTATATTCTTAGTAAGTTTTTATGTTACAATTATTTTCTGTTTTTATAACCTTATATTAATCGGTTGTATTTTATACTTATCCAATATATTATGTGTACTTGTAATATATGCATATTTAATATTTATAATGTCAGCTATAAATTTTTTAATATTATTTTACAAATATCTAATCTTTAGACTAAAAAATATTAGTTGGGCTCCTTTGTATATTTTCATTATATATTTCTTTTTTTTAATTAATCTATTTACCGACTAATCCAGATCAGGTACTGCAGAGGCGAGGGTGACCCTCCCAACCCAGCTTGCTCCATTCACAAACGTCAGGATTCGAACCCATTACCTTGCAACTAAACGCCTAAAACAGTTACACAAATAATTGAAAACCAGCCACAAAGAGTGTAGCAAAACTGCACTCAAACCCACCTAAAAGATAGCAGCATCACACGGGTACGAGACTTGAGAAATATTATTAATATTTATATAACTTTGAGAAATATTATTTTATTAGTAAATTGGAGGTTTAAGTACTAAATTGTGAATTTATATTCTATTATATGAGACCTTTAAAACAACATAATATATGCTTAAAATGATAGAATGATTAACGAAAAATTGATGATCAAAGCAAGTTACAAAAATTGTTGTGTTGAGACAGTCCTTGGATGCCCGGATCGATTCTCGACTTAAGTGAACAATTTATCTTTTTGGAGTCGTCACCAATCATTTGGGTTAGGTAAGATAGGATACCTAAATCTTACTGAATCTATCTCTTACCATATATTTACTTGGAAGAGTACGAGAGTTGATTATGTAAGGGGAAGGACGAGCATTCCCACAACGCCCAATTTTTTTTGCTCGATAAATATAATTTTTGATGTCTCTTCGTCATTATTGTGTCTTGCTCGGCGAATCGAGGGTATCTTCGTTATGTTTTATTGTGCTTGACGTGGTTGATTTTGTTTGCATCAGTCGTATTGCAGTGAGCTGAATTGTTTAAAGGTGTTGTGTGCGTCTGGTGAATCAGATGCAATCTGTTTTTAATTGGTTCAACCTGATATACTTGTGCTTGTAGGTTGCTGTTTTGTTATCTTCTTTAAGCTTTTATGGTGTACCAATTGATAACTTTTGGCTTCTGACCAATTTTCCCTTTATTAATATAATATGCCTCCTGTTGTTCCAAAAAAAAAGTATTGCACTGAAGAGTATTGTTTGGTGTACTCCAAAATCTAAGCAGAATTATAATTAGGGTACTCAATTCATTTCAATTACCAAGTAAAATTATTCGAACACGATATTTATAAGATTATGTTTAAATATATTATTTTATGAAAAATGACAATAGAAGATATTTAAACTTTCATAAATAAAAAAAATTAATCAAATTATTATTTATAAAACATCAATAAAAATAAATTTATTTAAGTTTTAATTGATCATTAATATAATTTAATAAAAAACTATTATGTATAAAAGACAACAAAATATAAAACTACAAAGGAATGGAATGTCCTCAACCTCAGACTACATTTGAACTAGTTATAGTAACAGAGTCCATTGATGTAGTTGACTCATCAATATTGGGGTTCTCGCAACCATGAACCTCCGATGACGTGTCAATGGGAAGTCGATTTCAAGCGATTCATCCTCATTTTCAAACATTCTCAACCCTTTACTCATCGATGGACGATCTCCAAGCAGTAATTGTATACACCAAAAGGTTATTACTATCATCTTCCTCACCATTGATTTTTCATCATAAGCATCTCCAAACTCCATGTCTTCACCTTGATCCAATCGATCACAAATCCAAGACAAAAAAATAGATTTGACTGGTGCCATCGACAAATCTATTCAAGTTCTTTCTCCTTCCCACCATTTCTATTTGTAACATCCCAAAACTATAAAGATCCGCTTTCATGAAATGCCTCGAAGGTTTTTGTAAAACAATTCGGGAGCAGTATATCCTATTGTTCCCCGTGTTGCAGTGAGAGAGACGATACTATTATACTACAAGACCGAAATTTAAAACTTTTGGATTAAAATTCTCATTTAGAAGAATATTGTGTGACTTGATATCAAAATGTAAAATTTACATGTCACACCATCGATGCAAATAGTCGATTCCTCGAGCCACACCAAACTCAATATAAAACATCTTATATTAAGAAATGCCAAGCCAAACATTATTTGTAAATTGAATATCAAACATCTTATATTAAGAAATGCCAAGCCAAACATTATTTGTAAATTGCGTTACAACTTGCAACACTCCGACGTGATACTCATTCTTCTTCTTTGGTTGAGGCAATTATATTAAGAAATGTCAAGCCAACATTTAGTTGTATGTCTCGTTAAAAAACCCTAACCTAAATGAAGAAAACGAGCACATACAACCAAACAAAAGTTTCAAAGGGGTTTCTGGTTTTAAAATTGGCTCTCTTCCAGTTAAGTATCTCGGAATTCCTCTCGTCTCTCGTAAACTCACTGACAAAGATTGTGAAGCTTTAATCATCAAAATTAAGCAAAAGATGCAATCCTGGTCTGGTAGGAACTTAAGCTATGCAGGGAGACTTGAATTGGTTAAAATTGTTCTTTATAGTGTCTGCAATTACTGGTGTAGACAACTAATTCTGCCATCTTCTATCTTAAATAAAATAGAACAACTTTGCTCCCGTTTCTTCTGGAAAGGAGTTGACAAAAAAGCTGTTGGAGCCAGAGTTAGTTGGGCACGTATCTGTCTTCCTAAGTCTGAAGGAGGCCTCGGTCTGAAAAATTTAAAAGACTGGTGCAAGGTCTGTAATTTTAATCTTATTAGGAAGATTCTTGCAGGTAATGGATCTCTTTGGGTAGCATGGCTTAATAGCTATGTTTTTAAGCACCAAGATTTCTGGAATTTTCAAGCTGGAGTTAATGTAAGATGGAGCATTAAACGGTTACTTAAACTGAGAGCTGAATCTTTCCCTTTCCTCACTGATGGTCATTCACAAGCCAAAGATTTTTGGAATTAATTCGTACGCGAGAGCAGAAAGTTCCTTGGCATCGATTAATTTGGTTCCCGATGCATGTTCCTAAGCACAGTCTTATTGCTTGGAAGGCCATTCTCGATCGTCTTCCTACAAGAGATCATCTTCAACGTATGGGAATCTGTTCTGAAGGAGTTTGCGCCAATTGTAACTCCTTCCAAGAGTCCCGGGACCATCTCTTCTTCCTCTGCCCATTGGCAATTGATCTCTGGAAATCTATTATGCTGCTAAATGGTATTAGCTCTTGTTTGCTTGTTGGGACAATTTTTAGATTGGGCTATTTCTGTTTGGAAAGGAAAGTCACTTATCACTTTCATATTGAAGCTTGCATGGTCTGCTTTCATTTATTTTCTATGGAAAGAGCGCAATTGCATAATCTTCTCGGGTCGTCGTAAAAACGTTGAAGACTTACTCAAAGATATCAAGGAGGTCGTAGCCATCCGACTAAGAGGCAAATCCATTAATAGACTTGATAGTTTTAACCTTACCCTTTGTAATGCTTGGAATATAGCTTAACCAATCATTTTTTGTATCTGTTATTTGTTCCATTGTAGTTTGATTGGTTGATTGGTTGATTGGTTGTAGCAACTTTACTATTTGGTTAATAAAATTTGAATTATCCAAAAAAAGTTTCAAAGGATATTTAGAAACGACTAACAAAACGAGCACAACAATCTGCCAACAAACCAGAGAGAACAGCAAACACAAAATAAAGGAAGATCACAACAAACCACACACACAAACAACATGGTGCAAACAGTCACCACGAAGCTTTGAACAAATCTAGCCTTGACAAGCAAGCCACCCTGCTAACGACCTGTGTTCGGGTGAAGAGTGATGAATGTCAAGCGGAGATGCTCATATGCACTCTCGGCGAGGATTTTATTCAAAGCCTCGGTAGGATGGACAGCATCCCAAAATACGTATCTCCATGGGCTACTACACGACTTTGAATTATGAAGGCAAAGCTCTCCGCCGCCACCAGTTGTGCAGCATGAACTATTCGTCACTGAATGCCCCAACCAAAATATCAAATAGTTTTTCATTAAAAGACATACGTTAAGAAGAGTATTTTTCAGCAATTTTAATGTCACGTTACGATAATATCATAACATTTCCATTGTAATCATACGAGAGGCAAAGCTAGGGTTGTTTACCTAATGTTGCAAGATCAGTTGGAGTTCCGGAGGGATTAAGATAGGTAAATCTAGCACCGGGTAGATTGGTGTTAAGTTGATGGATGAGTAGCTCCAGTCTTTCATTGAAAAGGGTTGCTCCCTCGTTTAATTTCACTACACAGTCTGACCCATTAGTTCCGTACATCGAAATTGCGTACGGAGTGCAACCAATGTTCCCTATCCCGTACACGCCAAACATCCTTGCACCCTCATTGTACAAAGACTGGTATAGTGCATACGAATTAGTTAACCAATATTTGAACTACATCAAATAATTCAACTGCTATATTTGGTACCGATTAAAATTTAAACAATCATTCAACTTATAATAAAACATTTCTTCCTATACTTAATTCCTTAGATTAATCTTGATTTAATTAAAAGATGGTATAAAATATATATAACTAATTACCTTAAGTTGGACTGAACCAGCACCGTAGCATATTCCGACGGCGTGAAACTTTGGCCGGTTTTATAGAATTCCGGCTTGAAATAATTGTTGATATAATCATTGCTTCCGGTTTGAACCGAATAAATACATTGTTTTAAAAGCGAATTCGTGGCCGAATAATTTTGCATTAACTCCATGAGTTTTGAGATAATAGTTTTGTGATTTTTTGTTTGCTCATCTAAAGATATACAAACACCCTGCACAATACATCAGTAGAGAATATTGTTACGTCACAACGTAAGCTCGCTCAAAAACATGTTCAACGGCTATATTATACTAGAGTTGCACATAATTGTTAAAGCTCAATTTAAAATATGAATCTTAAATCGTGTCCAAACATGTACATGTATGCAAGTGGTGCACTCAGACTTGTTTAAAGCTGACCATATTTTTTTTAATCATAAAAATACGTCGTTTTAATATTATTATTTTATTATAATATAACAATGTTGAAAATTCAATATTAGCCTAAATAAGTTCACACCTAGATTAATTTGCTTACATCAATTTAGTATTCATGTCATTGATTACATCAATTTAGTTATGTGGAAATTAAGTTTTTTCTCATGTTTTAATTTCAATGGTTTAGATTATTTAGTGATTATTTTAATGAGTGGTTTAGATTGTTTCTTATAACCTATAAATACCCTACTTGTATTTGAGTTTTATCATCCAACAATCAAAGCTTAATTATAAGCATTTGAAAGCTTTCTTAAGAGTTCTTTCCTTTTGCAATTTTGTGAGATTATTCTAAAGAGAGTTTTTCTTCTTCTCGATCAATTAGAGTTTTTACTCTATTTTGATTCAACAATTGGTATCAAGAGCCACGTTTTTTAAGGTCTCTAGAAATTCGAGTATGCTCTGTGGCTGCAGTTTTAACTAATCTTCCACATCAGAAAAGATTTCTTGAGATTATATATTGTCGGGGTTATTACAAACCTTGTGGAGCTTATTTGTGTTTAGAGTAATTTAGTACTCTGCACGTTTGTTACTCAAGCTTGTTCGGTGTAGTCAAAGCCTTGCCGTTAAGATGGGTGATCTTCAAGTAATTGGAGGAATCAAGAAGCTCAACAACAAAAACTACAACACGTGGGCAACATGTATGGAGTCATACTTACAAGGTCAAGACCTTTGGGAGGTTGTCGGTGGTGGTGAAGTTACACAACCGGCGGCAGAAGATGCCAATGGCATCTTGCGAAAGTGGAAAATTAAAGCAGACAAAACAATGTTTGCTTTAAAGACTACAATTGAAGAAGAAACGTTGGAGCACATCCGGGATGCTAAAACACCAAAGGAAGCATGGGACACTTTTGTTACACTCTTTTCAAAGAGGAGCGATACAAAATTGTAACTTCTCGAGAATGAACTTCTATCAATGGCGCAACACGACATGGCGGTTGCCCAATACTTTCACAAGGTGAAGTCGATATGCCGCGAAATTTCATAATTAGATCTGACAGCTGCTATTAGGGAAGCTAGGATAAAAAGAATAATTGCCGTTGTACAGGGATGGCCGACACAACCATCACTTGTTGAGTTTGAAAATTTGCTTGCAGGTCAAGAAGCCATGGCCAAGCAAATGGGAGGAGTCTCGCTGAATGGTGAAGAGGAAGCGCTCTACACCAGGAAAAATAGAGGCACTTTTCAGTGGTATACTGGCATTGGATCTAAAAAGCATGGTGACAAGGTGAAAAATTACCAAGGAAAGGGAGGCCCCCATTCAGGGGGAGCTTCCAAGAATCGCGGTAATAGTAGAAAGTTTGATGGCAAGTGTTACAACTGCGGGAAGATGGGTCACATGGCAAAAGACTGTTGGACCAAGAAAAAGCATGTTGAAAGTAATACTGCTACTTCCAGTTCGAAGGAGTATAGTGAAGATGGTTGGGATGCTGAAGCATTATTTGCTACGGAGGAAGAAGAATTAGCTCTCATGGTAACAACACCAGAACGGATTGATTACAAGAATGATTGGATCGTAGACTCAGGCTGCTCAAATCACATGACGAGTGATAGACAGAAGTTGCAAAACTTTTCTGAGTACAAGAGAAAAGGAGTTTCCACACGCAAAGGAAAAGAGGGTCATGGTGGGAAACGGGAAGAGAGTCTGGTGGGCTCGAGAGCATCATCAGTGTCCAAACATGGGGATGCCATGATGAGTTCGCAAGAAATGCTTGGGGCGATGAAAACACACCAGGAGGAGCTAGATCTCGAGGTAAAAAGACTCGATGATGGAGCCCAAGGCATGTTTGAGCGAGACAGTACATTCACTCATGAAGACGAGGAGAGTCTTGATGGGAAACAAGAGGAGGAACTGACAGTCTACGAGAAATGGGTTTATTTGATGGAAGGTTTGGCTTTCCATGCAGATAGGCTCATCAAGTTGAAGCATCTCAACTTTGTGTGAAAAGAGGGTCGGGGGACTTGAAAAAGCCGAGGATGAGGCCAAGGAGACTCAGGGTGTTGTGGAGTCCCGCCTTGATAAATTGGAGTCCATGGAGGACAAGTTCAAAGATGAGATGCAACGAGTTCTCAATGAGTTGGAGATAGTTCGAGGGAGTAATGCCCATGAAGTCGAAGTGATGGCTTTGAGAAACGAGGTGGATGAGCTCAAGAGGGAGCTACTCATATGCAAGGGAGAAATGAGTGAATGGGGTGCGCTCAAAACCTTCTTGGAAGGACTTAGACCAGGGACGATACTCGGGGGAGAGCAAGGTGATGCCCAGAGACTTTCGGGAGCCATAGTTGTAGCCGGAAAGCTGACTGAGCTTGCAGGTGACAAGCCAAGTAGCAATGTGTCGTCCATGCCCATGCCCAGGGATAGTGGCAATAATGGGGGAGACCAGGAAAAGATGAAGCGGGGAGATGGTAGAGAAAGCTCTTCGAGTGGCCAAGTTGAGCCAACGACTGTTCGTAGCCAAGGAAAGCCATCATGAAAGAATGACAAGGCTAAGTCTGGTGTAAAGAAGAACGGGAGCAAGGAAAAATTGAAGTGTTACTTCTGTGATGGTCCTCATTTGATTAGAAGATATCCCGAAAACGTCACCTTGCAATCATCATGAAGAGGATGGAAGAAGGAGAAGTAGCGGGAATTGGCACGGTCGCAAGTGTTAAAGTTGCCAAGGTAGGGAAAAGACTTGGTTCGATTGAGGGGATCAATGCGACCAAGCGAGGATCAAGACGAGGTAAGGCTGTTGATGTTGAGGTAGTCGAACCCAGAAGAAAGCCCGATGTGATTGCGAGTGTTCAAGCAATCAAGTCAGGAGGACTTGGTGAGGCTACATGTTCCAAAGTAGCCGAATCAAGGGGCAAGGATGGTGCGATTACAAGTTCTCAAGTAGTCAATCCAGGATCGAGACGTGACGAGACTGCGGGTGTCAAAGCAGTCGAGCACAAGAAGGGACCCGATGCGATAGCGAAAGATAAAGCCGTCAAGCCAAGGGTGCAAAGTGAGCAAGTTCGCTTACAGTGATTCAAAGAATGGAGGCTAACATTGAGGGGGAGTGTTGAAAATTCAATATTAGCCTAAATAAGTTCACACCTAGATTAATTTGATGTCATTGCTTACATCAATTTAGTATTGATGTCATTGATTACATCAATTTAGTTATGTGAAAATTAAGTTTTTTCTCATGTTTTAATTTCAATGGTTTAGATTATTTAGTGATTATTTTAATGAGTGGTTTAGATTGTTTCTTGTAACCTATAAATACCCTACTTGTATTTGAGTTTTATCATCCAACAATCAAAGCTTAATTAAGCATTTGAAAGATTTCTTAAGAGTTCTTTCCTTTTGCAATTTTATGAGATTATTCTAAAGAGAGTTTTTTTTCTCTAGATCAATTAGAGTTTTTACTCTATTTTGATTCAACAAACAATTTATTTGTGATAGTTTTTTAAATTTACCAGATGTCTCCCAGTTTCGTTGCGAATGCCTGCAGAACCCGACGCATAGTTTACACCGTTGAAAATGTCTTTCCCTCCTGAGTTGGCGAAAGCAGGAATATAATCTTCGAACCCCAAAAGTTCAGCTATCGTCACATGCATTTACACATACAAATCAAATGTCAGTTATACTTCTACCGATAAAACAAATTATAATTTTATTTTGGTCCCTCCTAAAACAACCTCTTGGACCTCAATCATAAATTTTTAGTGCACGTGGAAATAGAGAAGAGAGAAGTGCATACCGATAAAATCATGCATGTTTCGACCATCGCTAAACCTTCCGGTTGGTCCTTGGGGGAAATCATTCCCGTAAGGCAGATAATTTACTTTGGCCAACGTCGGAAGGTTATTATTGTTTCCATTATCTGATAACGAGTCACCGAAAATAAAGTAGCACGGCACTTGCGGGCTTGCATCCGCCTTGTTTGACATGCTTAACAATACTAACAACATCGCCACCAGCTCCATTGGTTTAAGCTTTGATTCCATTGAAGATACAAAAACCAAAGAAATCACAATTTTTTTATAATAAAAAAAGATGACTTGAAGAAAGGTTGAGTTGGAAGATAAATAACAAAACAACTAGCTATATATAAGGAGAAAAAGAAAACAAAAGCTGTGATGATCTGTTTTCTTTCTTTTATTATTGTGACAAATCTTAATTATTATTTTATCAGCTTGGCACATATTTAGCTAAGATAACATGTCATGGCACTTTTTCGTTTTAACTCAATAAAATTACATTACAAAAATTTATGGCTAACAAAACCATGTTGGATGCTTCTCCTTCTTAAAGCTCAACCACATCAATTGTTAGTGCTTGCCAAACCATGTTATCTTGTTTTTCCAACCATAATTTATTATTATCTAATTAAATTATCAATTATTTAATGGAGTTGGATAGAAAATAAGAAAAAAATTAAATATGGGAATAATTAAAAAATTAAAAATTAAAATATACTTTAAAAAATTAATAATAAATAAAAAAGGGGAAAGTTCCTGCATCATCGTGTTCACACTTCCCCTTCCCCTTACAGACTTCTCTGTCTTTTTCCTTTCAATCACCAGACTTGTGTTCTATTAGCAGACTGTTTTATGTTCACGGACGAAATCGTCAGATTTACCGTTCTAGTTTGCAAACGACCCATGATTGGGATCAGGCGATGGCTGTTTAGCGATTTAGGTAACTATGATCTTAACTAGCAACATTTGGGAACTATTTTAACACATAACATATTGAAACAAGAATTAATAACCATAAGTAACTTACAGTTGCAGATTGAGATGTACAGCTGGAGCTGTCTCGAAAGCCGTTTTTAAGCTTTGGCTCAAATAATATCTGATTGCACAATCAAAGAAAAAATTAAAATGAAATTCTGTGCTGAAAACACCAACCACTTGCATGGTTGCTGCCACGTAGCAGCTGCATAAGAACAAATTTAGGAAATCAGAAAAATCAAACCATTATATTGTTACTGGTAGCCTTATCCCTAATCACCATCATCATTACCTTTTTCCAAGATTCACAAGACCAGTATAACCTGGTCCAAAAATTGGTTCCAAATCCTGCCCACTTTCTTGATTTCTATCCCAATCAAAGTTGGTATTCTGGTCAAGCTCCCTCTCAGCAGTTGTCCTTGCAGTCTAGAAACAGTCATAGATTATAATTTCTAATCAGATAACATTAAATCATTCATAAACGCTTCAAGCTTCCTATTTCTGATCATTGTATGGCAGTGGTTGATCTTCACAAAGAGGCTCATTTAAATAGACCGAAACCCTTCAAATTCTTCAACTGTTGGACTTTACATCCAGAGTTTCTTAACATTATTGGTCAATCGTGGAATATAGCAGCACAAGGCAACCCAATGAAGTCTTTATTCCTTAAGCTTAAACGACTCAAAGCTAGCCTTAAACAGCTCAATAAAGACTATTTTAGTGACATCTCGGATCGAACTAGAAAAAAAAGAGAAGAGCTTGAAAAACAGCAAATTCTTACCTTAAGAGGTGATGATTCCATGGAGAAAGAGCTCGAGTTGCAAAGGGAGTTCAATTCTTTAGAAGCAGCAGAGACCATGTTCTTAAAGCAAAAAGCTAAAATGCATTGGCTAAAGGAGGGTGATAAATGCACAAAATTCTTTCACTCAGTCATTGCTACAAAGAAAAAGAAACAGACTATAAGGGTTCTTGTCAACAATCGGGGGGAAAGACTTGAATCATTCGACGAAATGTCCTCGGAAATAATTGAATTCTTCACAAATCTCTTAGGTTCCGAGGATCCAAACGTAAAAGAATGTCCTTCTTCACTTCTTAAAGGTCTTATCCAACCGATTTCTTCATTTATTGACCCTGAAGCTCTTGTCAAGGAAGTTACTAGTGACGAGATTAAAGAAGTTCTTTTCAGCCAAGGCAATGACAAGGCTCCCGGACCTGACGGTTATACGTCTCTCTTTTTCAAGAAAGCTTGGCCTGTTGTAGGTAATGATGTTATTAAGGCAATAAAGTACTTCTTTCAAGAATCTTTTATTTATCCAGCCTTTAATGCAACCACTATTGCTTTGATTCCAAAAAAGCCAAATCCTAGCAAAGTTGCCGACTTTCGACCCATTTCTTGTTGTTCGGTTATTTACAATACCATTACAAAGATTCTTGTTAATAGAATGACAAATCTGCTGCCAACGATTATTGCACCTAACCAATCTGCTTTTGTCAAAGAAAGGAGTATAGTTGATAATACCCTTCTTGCTCAGGAAATTGTTAAAGGTTACGGAAGGAAGCTCATATCACCAAGGTGTGCACTGAAAATTGATCTCCAAAAGGCTTTTGACTCAATCAATTGGGGCTTTATTTACGCAGTCCTTAAAGCATTGGATTTACCCCATAAATTCATCAATTGGATTGTCTCATGCTATACGAATGCTAGATACTCCATCGCTCTCAATGGAAGCTTGGTTGGTTATTTTAGGGGAAAAAGGGGAATCAGACAAGGAAATCCGCTTTCACCTATTTTGTTCGTTCTGGTTATGAATGTGCTCTCTAATATTCTCAATAATGCTGCCTTCAGAGGGATTTTTGCCTTCCATCCTAAATGCAAGAAAATTGGACTCACCCACTTGTCATTCGCTAATGACTTATTAATTTTCTGCAAAGGAAACCTAGAGTCTGTTATGGGAATCCTTACTATTTTGGACTGTTTTTCTGAACATTCAGGGTTGAAACTCAACACAGGCAAATGCGAGATTTTCACTGCAGGTATTTCAGCCCTTAATCTTGATACTATCATCAACTGTTCTGGTTTTAAACATGGTAGGCTGCCTGTCAGATACCTGGGGGTTCCTCTTGTCACCAGGAAACTTACCGATAAAGATTGCCAAGCTCTGCTTGACAATATCAAGAGTAGACTCCACCAATGGTCTAGGAAGAAAATGAGTTATGCAAGCAGGGCTGAGCTTATTAAGACGGTCCTCTACAGCGTTGCTAATTATTGGTGTAGACAGCTAGTCTTGCCACAGTCCATTATCAAGAAGATTGAGCAATTATGTTCCAGATTCTTCTGGAAAGGATCGGACATTTCTGCTGCTGGTGCAAGGGTGAGTTGGGTGAAAATTTGCAAACCAAAATCAGAAGGAGGCCTGGGATTAAAGGACATCAAGTCCTGGAACAACGCCTGCATAATTATTCTTATCAGGAAATTACTTGAGAGAGAGGGTTTTCTATGGGTAGCGTGGCTCCATACCTACATAATTAAACAAAATGATTTCTGGACCATGGCAGAACCGCAAAATGCTAGCTGGAGCTTCAAGCAAATGCTGAAATTCAGAATTGTTGCTCAAACAATGCGTGTAACAGCAGTAAAAAGCACTGCAGAAATTTGGGAACTGATCCGCCCTAGAGATACTAAAGTCTCATGGCATAAACTATTATGGTATCTTTTTCATGTCCCGAAGCATAGCATTGTCTCATGGATGGTTATTTTGGATCGGCTTCCCACTAGGGACAGACTGCACCGACTTGGTCTTATTACCAATGACCTTTGCATTTTCTGCTCGGAAGCAAAGGAAACTAGAAACCACCTCTTTGCCGAGTGCTCGAAGACTGCTTCCATTTGGAGATCCATCCTTCAACTTTCTGGTTTGAATAGGCAATTCTCGACTTGGACTAACCTGCTGGAGTGGGCGACCGCTACATGGAAAGGCAAATCACTGCTTTCTTGCATTCTGAAGCTGTCATGGTGCGCCTATAATTACTTCATTTGGGAGGAACGAAATCGTAGGATATTCAAGGGAATTTGCAGAACTGATGAAGTAATTATCAAAATCATTAAGGAGGTGGTAGGAACTCTTCTAAGTAATAGAAATGTTAATAGATTAGATAGCATTAACTTAGCTCTTTGTGATCATTGGGATATAGTCTAATTTTGCTGTAACTAGTTCCCTTTTCTTGTTCCTTTGACTGCACTGTTTTCTGTTGTTACTAGCTTACTGCTATTTGGGTAATAAAAGCTTGAATTATCCGAAACTTACATTCTACAATAACATATCACTCGTCGAGGGATACACTCTTCAACACCAAACTTAAAACTCCTCGAGGGATCCACTTCAGGTTTCTCAGCATTAGATCGTTCAACTTGGTCGAGCAAATGAAGGAAGAACTCCAAGGCATCCTACAGAGAATTCAAGGGTCCACATAAGCAACTGATGGCAACACAAAGGGAACATTATGATCCCCAAGACAGATCCTACTGCACAATGAATGGATTAACCCACATAAGCCCGTATTGCAATGATGTATTATGTCGCTTGGTCACCTTGCTATATCTACCATTAGAACTTTTATGTCATATTCTTCATGTAATCTTAAAGAACCATTTTCAGATTTACTGGAAATATGGCAAATTCAAGCTGATACTAGAAACCAAATAATAATTTCAAAGTAGAATTAGTAGAATCAGCATACCTGTTGTCTCATTGTAGAAAACTCGGGATGGTCGGCTGCAATAACTGCTTTGAAGTTTGAACATGTGAGGAGGGATCCCTTCTTGTTTCTAATATTTTCAAAAGGTTGAAAAATGAAAAGAAGTTCACAGGCGACTGTCACAATTGTTCAAACATAGCACGTAGAAATTAAAATAAAATTACTGATAATTTAAGACGACTCGTTTAAGCATATTTAAGTTGCATAGCACAAATTCTATAGCTAAACACCGATACCCATGCATTTATGCTTCACCAGAAATTTCCAGGTTGCATATGTACTTGTATCATAACAGAGCTGGCAAATGCATGATATCGTCTAAGAATCTACAAGAGTAGATTATACAGAGGGAAGCTTACGGCATCTTTTACCGGAGATGTAGCAATTCCATCTTTCTGGAAGATTAAAAAATATCAATTAATTCATTAATCAGAAAAAAGGGCAACTTTACTAGGAAAATCAGATTGATATGGTTACAGTACCTCTGATGCTGGAAGAGAATATTTACCGGAGAGCAAACCATGTGCCA